AGAGTAGAGGGACAGCACAGGAGGGAAAGACCCTCTATGAGGTGGATTGATTCAGTGACTGGGATATTCGGGATGGGTGTGTCAGAGGCAATGAGATTGGCACAGGATAAAGCAGGGTTTAGGGCCGTTGTTCATAGGGTCACTATGAGTCGCAAACGACTCGACGGCACATAACAACAACAACAACTTGGTCAGAACCTCTTCAAAGGCTGACATGGGCAAGGAATCAAGCCATAAGAACCAAGGATGGAGAGCTCACCCTCATCTTCCAGATTTGTTTCACTCTGTTTTCTAGTTCTTTTTTTCTCCTCTTCTGGGTCTTCATCTGAAGATCCATCTTCATCAGAGGAAAGATTGGCTTTAATTTCTTCTAAAAGCATCTTCTTCGCAATTCTAGAGTTTGAAAAGATAATTTTTAAAACTATGTAATGGATGTCAAAATATATTAAAGCAAAAACAAAGACTTTTCTACATCAAACCAGAAATAAATGTGTAAAATGTCTTTTATTTTATTAATAAAATACCAGTAAAGCATGTTTCTACCTGAACTACCAAGAGTAACTTTTTACTATCTTCTACAAAATTCTACAGTATCTGGAAAACTCCCAAGAACATAATCCAATGACAATTCTGGGCAACTATAATATGATGTTTGACAATCTTCCAATCTCAGACAGGATAGACTTTCATAATCCAACAACAACAATATCAGAAACAACCCATACAACAAATAAATTTATGCAGACAAATGGGAATTGAGACATATCTCATAAAAGTAAACAGTAAAACATATAAAAAATTAGTCCATAGTAATACATTTTACTATGGTAAATGGTTTTGCTCATAAAGCTTCAATTTATTTCACCTATCTTTTTAACCAGATTAACTCATTGGTATCAAGCCTTCTATATATAATCTTCAGCAGGATCAGACTCACAGTCGACCCTCTATTGGAATTCAAAGGCTGTAAAAAAGCAGTAGAATAAACTGCTCAAGTTTGCATTTCATAGCTGCTGGTGGATTTGAATCAGAGAGGTGTGGCCTTTGGGTTAGCAGCACAACTCCCTATGAACTTTACCACCAGATGACCCCATCCAGATGAAAATATATGTAAAATATTAACCACTAAAATACCTGGGAATCATGAATTATTAATAATATATTAAAGTTAGATCAGTGAATGGAGAGACGTTCAGACATACATGGAAGAGTAACACAATTTACTTTTCACTGTCTTAAATATCCAGCACAGCAACATCACTCACAAAATTTCTGAAGATGCTACTTGAAGTCAATTATTGTTGTTGTTGTTATGTGTTGTCGAGCCCTAAACCCTGCTCTATCCCTTGTCAATCTCATTGACTCAAACAAGCTTATCCCAACTATCCCAGTGACAGAATCAATCCATCTCATCGAGAAACTTCCTCTGCTGCGCTGTCCCTTCACCCTCCCAAGCATGACATCTCTCTCCAAGGACTGGTCCCTCCTTGCAACATGTCCAAAGTACGTCGCACGAAGCTTCAGAATCCTGCCTCCAGAGAGCAGCCTAGCTTCACCCTCTCCAGGACGAACTTGTTTGTTCTCTTAACAGTGTAATAAGGAATAAAACATGTTAATTATGAAAAACCTTGCAAAGAAATAGACCATAGAAAGGACAGTTGTTCATGGTGTAGAACTAAGAAAGGATAGCATCATCAGACCACATTAGGCGACTCAAAGTATTTGAGATACTCAAATTGAGGTAAACCTCTATAAATGATGACTGAATACATAAATATAAATATATAATATAAATGATCATATGAAAATCCTATTAAGTCAAATAGTAATTACAAGAGTAAGAGAACTCTTTTATGAATATTATTTATCTCAAAATAAAATACAGTTGATTCCAATTACTCAGTTATCATAAATTGATCTACTTTCTAAAACTTACTTATAAGCACAAACTTAGTACCTTCATGATTTTGGTGATCATTTATACAGGTAAAATACTTTGAGTCATCTAACGTGGCCTTATAATGCTATTCTTTCTTATTTTTGTTCTGCACCATGAACAACTATCCCTTCTATGGTCTATTTCTTTGCAAGGTTTTTCATAATTAACATGTTTTATTCCTAATTACACTTTTTATTCCTAATTTCACTGTTTAAAATGTCTTTTTTTCATACTGCTGTATTCCCTACCTAAGCATTGCTGCTGCTGTAATGTGTTGTCAAGTCTCCTGCAACTCACAGTAACACTATGTACAACAGCCCTAACTCCTGCACTATCCTGTGACAACCTTATTGTCTCTGACACACCTATCCCTATTACCCCAATCACTGAATCAATCTATCTCATCGAGGGTCTATCTCTGCTGCACTGTCCTTCCACACTCCCAAGTATGATGTCACTCTCTAAGGACTAGTCCCTCCTTGCAATATGTCCAAAGTATGTCAGATGAAGCTTTATGTGGAAATTATTGAACAGTATTATTAATATCACATTTAAGCAAGATTCTGCTGAAGATTATAAAAAAATTACTGAAATAGAGTATCAACAGAGAACTGCCAAAATTCCAGGCTTAATTTCGAAGGGGTCAAGGTACTAGGGATATTGTAGATGTCAGATGGATTTTGGCTGAAAACAGGGATTACCTAAGGAATGTCTATCTATGTTTCATTGACTATGCAAAGGCATTTGACTGTGTGGACCACAACAAACTGTAGCTAACTCTGAGAAGAATGGGAATCCCAGAACACTTGATCATGCTTATGCGAAACCTATACTTGGACCAGGAGGCATTAGTCAGAACAGAGCAAGGGAATACTGCATGGTTCAAAACTGGGAAGAGTGTACACCAGGGATGTGTCCTATCTCCATACCTAAGCATAAGAAGGAGAAAATTCATGTGCTAAAAAAGCTTCATTCTGGCATGATTAATAATGCTAATAGGCATGAGTTGAATGTTAGTAAATCAATACATTTTAAAAGGTATTTTAAAATAAAAATATATAAACTAAGATTATGTATTGAAATTTTTATGAAATCTAATCAGCAGCTCACAGGAAGTCAATCTTTATCTAAGGAGAAATGATTAGCTGTTTGATAATTCACTGCTGTGGACAGTTGACAGATCATTACTCCCATGAATAAGGAGAATCAACTGTACATACCTAGAACACTTCCATATTTATACTAAAGGAAGACATCTGAAGTTATAAACAATCATGAGGCTTTTGTGCAAAACAATATTTAAGTACATAAATCACTGTAACAAACCAACCTTATGAAAAGGTTCAGATAGAAAACGGCATGATTTTGATAGTTTACCAGTAACTAAATGATACTATATGAGCATTCAGTCTACAGTTAAAATCTCATTTCTAGATGAATAAAATCTTCAATCTAAAGTTCTAGAATATTTGTTATTCTGGATATGAATCCTATTTCTTTTTGGTAGCATTTCAGTTATAAACTTATTCAGTGGGGGTGGATGTTTTTAGGTGCCATTAAGTCCTAAGTGCTCAAGGTGACCCTCATTTAGCAGAGAAGAACTGTCACAAAAAGGCTTGCAAAGCTTTAATATTTACAGGAACAGACGTCAAAGCCTTTCTCCCATGGTAACACTTGAGCACTTAACTGTTAAAATACCAAATAGACTGTTTTTGTTAAATGACATTGAGTTGTCTGCCACTCACAGCAATCCTATGTATTAGCTTTGAAAGCTGCTCTATCCTACGCTAATCTCTTCCTCTCCAACAGATCTAATCTCATTGCTCTAGTGACTGATTCAAACCATCTAATCCTGGGTCTTCCTCTCCTGAATCTTCAACATGGACTGCATCTCAACATAAAAAAACCAAAAATTCAACACACACACAATCATAGTATGAAATATAAGCTTTGTATGCAAATAAATGTAGAATTAAAAATAAATAAAAAGAAAACAAAAATCCCCACCACCCAACAAACAGGCAGCATAATAATATATGGAGAAAAGCCTGAAGTTTTAACAATTTCATCTTACTTGAATCCAAAATCTACACCCTTCAACATGAGCAATCAAGAAATCAAAACATGAGTTGTATTAGAAAATTCTGCTGTCAGGGACTTCTCCAGAGTGTCATAAAGAACAATAGTGTCAATCTAAAAACAAAGTTGTGTCTTACACAAGCCATGCTTGGTAAGCCTCTAAGGGCTGGAAAAGGACAAAGGATAACAGAAGGATCTGATGCCTTTGGGCTGTAATGCTGGAGAGGAGAAGTGAATATAAAATGGACTCCAAGGAGAACACACAGGTCTGTCCCAGAGATAAGAAAACAAGGCTGATCCTCATAGATGAGATTTTTCAAACTCCATCTCAAATACTTTGGTTATGGTGTCAAGAGAGGTCAGTTAGTGCTTCAAGAAGGACACCACACTTGGAAGGGTGGAGGGTTAGCACTGGAAAAGCCTGGATGAGATGGACAGGCACAGTGACTATGACAATGTGGTTTGATGTGTCAAAAACAAAGTTTGGAGCAGAATAGGGTTTCATGGGGTCAGTGTGAATATCAGTAACTGACTCAATGGAACACACCAATTAAAAAAAGTAAACTATTATTTCCTCTTATCAAATCTTTAAACATTTTCAATATATAACCAATCAGATAAGCAAAGAGTTACAGTCTAAAGGGTAATCTTTAAAGTTGAAAATTGTCATTATTGTACACTAATATTTCTCATCTACCTCAACAATTTTTTTGGAATGAATACAGAGAAAATGGTGTCTTGTGATGAAGATGTGTTTGTATTTGTGAAGTTTCGGATACAAGATTAGCAAAAGGAAAAAGTACTATTTGCAGTTACAAGGAACTCCTATGTTAATGGTAAAAAATAAGAAACAAAACCCCAATTCCTGATCTAGTTACTTGAAAAATTACTTCAAAAACCTTAAATTTTGTTTCCATATTCAAAAAGGTCTTAAAATTCCTTATTAGATGTATTGATTATAAAAAGTCATATAAATCTTCCTTGTTCAAATCCCTGGAAACCTAGGAATTTCTAAGTCTGTTGTTCGAGTATGAACCCTAGAGATCCTATAAACAACAGATTTGAATATTGTCCTATCCTGTTCCTTCTTCACACTCTGTGACACACTAGAGGCCATTGTGACAGTCACTGTGTTAATCCTATTGGTTTAGGGTTTTCCTCTCCATTGATGACACTGCCTTTCTGAGTATCATGTCCCTTTCCAAGGAATATCCCCTCCTAGAAATATGCCTGAAATATGTGAGGAAAAGCTTTATCATCTTTGCCTCCAAGGAGAACTCTAGCTGCATTTTCTCCATGCCACACGTGTTTATTCTTTTGGCAATCCATGGGATGGTCAGTACTCTTCTCCAACACCTCAACTCAAAGACATTAATTTTTCTTCTGTCATAATTATTCACTGTCCAACTCTCAGATGCATAATAAAGTAATCAGAAAAACGATGGTCTGAATTCAGAAGTACCTTATTCCTCAAAGCAACATTATTACTTCTGAATAATTTGGAGAGGTCCCTAACTGCAGACTTTCTCAGTGCAATACATCTCCTGATTTCCTAATTGTTGGTACTGAGGATGTTTATTGTGGACCCAAGCAAGATGAAGTTGTTGACAGTTTAAACCTTCTCTCCATCTATCATGTTGCCTATCAGTCCAATGGTAAAATTTCTGATTTCTTGATGAGGAGATACAATCCATACTGAAGGCTATTTGATCTTCTTCCACAAGTGCTTCCAGTTCTCCTCACTTTCAGTAAGCAAGATTATGCCATCTGCAAAACACAGGTTATTAATGAGGCTTCCTCTAATCATCATGCCACACTGCTCTTCAGAGTTCAGCTTCTCGAATAACTTGCTTAGCATATAAATGAATATAAGGAGAAAGAATACAACTCTGACACACTCCCTTCTTACAAACCATGTAGGGTTCCCTGGCTGTTTGCACAAGAGCCTCTTAGACTTGGTGTGTATTTCACATGAGCAAAATTAACAGCTCTGAGATTCCCATTCTCAATGTTATCCATGACTTGTCAAATGCCTTTGCATACTCAAAAAAGCATAATTCTTCTAGTATTCCTTACTTTCAGCAAGGACCATCTGACATTGGCAATGATATTCCTAATGCCAAAGACTTGTAAATCCTGCTGAAATTTCTGAGAGTTCCCTATCTATGTCCTGTTCTATTTTTAAATGATATTCAGCAGTATTTTGCTTGCATATAACATTAATGATATGGATTGATAATTTGCACATTTTATCAAATCAAGTTTCTTGGGAACGGACACAAATATTGAACTCATCCAACTGGTTGGCCAGACAGCCCCACAAATTTCCTCACATAGACTGGTGAGCACATTCAAGTCTGTATCTTAAATGAAACAAGTCAATTGGTATCCAATCAATTCCTGGGGCTTTATTTTTTGCCAGCGCCTTCAATGCAGCTTCCTCCCTCATTAACCCTAGCAGCTACACCTTTAGTACCTCTTTAAATTCTTCCGTACCAATCATCTCTTTTTGGTACAATGACTATGTGAATTCCATCCCTCTTTTTTTTGATGCTTCCAGGATCTTTCAATATATTGCGCACAGCATCATTCAGTATTTCAACTTGAGATCAAAATTTGTTCTTCAGTTCTTGCATCTTGACAAATGCATATCAAGTTCCTCCCTTTTTATCCATCAATTCCAGCTCTTGGCACATTCCATTGTAATACCCTGCTCTGTCTCCTGGAATTACCCTTTGAAATCTTGTGTTTGGATGTTTTTATTTCAGCATGTTATTCTTTGTGATGGTTTCTCAACACTCCAGCAAAATTGTAAGTCTCTTCTGACAACAATTTTGGTTTCTTCTTTGTAAGGATCTTTTGCTCTTTTTATGGATGATATCCTTGATATCACCTCATAACTTATCTGGTCTTCAATTATTGTTGTTCAATGCTGCAAATATTTTCTAAAGATGAAATTTCACATGGATTAAATTCAGGATTATATTTTGGCTCTTATGGACCTGTTTTCATTTTCTTCAACCTCAATTTCAACTTGCATATGATTAATTGATGGTTATAACCCATAATCCATTTCTGGCTTACTTTTGACTGCTAATATTGAGTTTCTCCAACAACTCCTTCCAGAGATGTAGTCAATCTGATTCCTATGTAGCCCATTAAGTGAGGTCCATGTGTAAAGTTACCGTTTATTTTTTTTAAAAAGGCATTTGCAATGAATAAATAATTGAAAATATAAAATTCTATCATTTCCAGCCTCATTTCTATCACCAAGCTCATATTTGGGAATAATATTCCTTCTTCAGCTGTTCCCAAGTTTTGCATTCCAACCACCAATTATCATTAACACATCTTGACTGCATGTTGACTATCTTGAATGGCAAGATTTGATGAAATATTTCAATTTCTTCTTCTTCTTCACCTATAGACATAAGTACATTTTGAAAGGATACCATACTTACTTTTTAAGATATTAATTATATATTGTCAAATTTAATATGGTCATACTATTCATATTTTATTTTAAAATGTTTCAAATAAAAGTAAATTATTAATGGGTACATATCTTTAAAGTGATTTCTTAATCTTACATGTCTGAATCATCGTCTCATCCTTTACATATTTTAACAAACAGGACTATCATACTGAACAGCAAAATGAGAAAATTTTTATTATTTTTTGCGTGTGTGTGTGTGTGTGTGTGTGTGTGTGTGTGTGCACCGTCAAATCAGATCTGACTGGTACAGGAGGAGATTGCCCCTCCTTCTACAGCAGACCATCTGGTGGATTTGAACCTAGTACCTCTGAGAAATATTTTTTAAAAAGATGTCTGTTGTCACAATTGAGCTGTGATTAATTTTAATTCATTAAAAAGACTCTCAAAATTAAGATATTCTCAGTTTTTCAATTTATACAGAAAGATAAAAAAGACTGCTATATCTATAATATACCCTATGTTAGGTGTGTTACTATTTATAGGTACTTCCCTTCTCTTTAGAGCCTCTTGTATGACTCAGTTAGATTTCAGAGGTAGGTTGTTTTAATTGAAAGGAAGGTGTAAACTAGTCATTTTTTATTTCAGTTTTGTTGTTTTTAGGAAGAACAGTGTCCTAAGTGGTACAGCACTTGTCTGTCAGTTTCCTGTACTGAGATAATTTGAGATTGCTATAATGCTGAAAGCTGTACCACCGGTGTGTGAAATACCATATGGCTTATCCATGGTGGACAGGGTTTGTGAAAATGCCATATTAGCACAGAGTAGCAAGCAGGACTGGCAACCACTTTTTAAGTAACAGGCCTTTGAAAACACTGTGAACACTAGAGCAACGAGAATAGTTACAGTCGTGTAGTGGTAGAACGGAGACTGGAAATCATCTGAAATGAGGAAAAATAGTAACAAACATCGCTTCAGGGTAGAGGTTCAGCACAGGAGAGGAAGACCCTCAGCAAAGTGATTAATGCGGTCAACTGCCATGATGGGCTCTTTTGTGTCTGAGAGTATGAGAATGGCACAGGATAGAACAAGTTTCAGATCTTTTGTTCACAGGTTAGCTATAAATCATACTCAACTCCATGAAAACTAAAAACAAAAACTTTCTCTTAAGATTTCTGAATTTTGGCTCAACTTTTCTCAAACTTAAAGGAATACTGTGAGCAAGTCACTCTAACTGCTGCTGTTTACAACTTGCTCATTCTTCCAAAGCTGTTATTTTTGCCCACACTTGGAGTATGTTATAGAATCTTTTTTTAAAGTCCTTACAGATATAATCATACCTATTCTCCGGATCATTGTCATCATCATCATCATCCACAGTGAGGGGTGTTGATTTGGATAAGGCTTCATCTCCTTGAAAAAGGAAAAAAGTGTACTTAAAATTAGTTCTAAATTATATTACAAGTGAAATCAAATTGAAAACGAAACAACTTTTTTACACCCTACTGAGTTCTGAATTATGTAATTAAAAACATGATAGTAGAGAATTTATAATGTGCCAGAAGTAAAATGGTATGCAGTCAGATCTTACAATATTCCAAGATTCCTTCACAGAACAGTTGTGAGAGTCTATCCTAGTCAGCAACAATTCTATCCTGATAATCATCACACTGACATGAAATAGACTTTATTAAGAATCCATTTAGGGTGCTCTGGTGGCCTACTGGTGAAGAGTTGTGCTGTCAACTCAAAGGAAAACTGTTCAAATCAATCATGTGCTCCATAGGAGAAAGATGAGTAAACACCTCTGGTGTGATTTATAGCCACTGAAAAGCCATTACAAAATCAGTATGAGTGGATTTTAACTCAATGGCACATACAAATAAACACAATCATCTATTTTGTGTTTTAAGAGTTAAAACTGTTTCATCTCGATCACTGAGAAATAGCAAATGATCTAATGATATTCTGTAGGTGCCAAAAATATATTTGAAATAACATGATTAGAATTTTTTTAAATTCCCAGGAAGTGCTAATGGTTAATGAATTCAACTACAAACTAAAAGACTGTTATTTTGATTGACACAAAGGTGCCTCTAAAGAAATGTCCAGCAATATATTTATTTAAAAAAAAACAGTCAATGCTCCTGAAGAAGAAAAAATTTTTTTGAGTGCAGTCCTTATATGACCTGCTAAATTCCTGTTTTGAGTCTATTCAAATGCTCCACTTCAATCTTGGTCAATTTGTATAGGTTGTGGATTTTTAGGGTTTGTTGGTTTTAATATATCCATTTCCTCAAGGTTCTCAAGGATTATTATTCTTAATCTCTGAACCTACTACAGTCACAACCTGTTCCTTGTAGATCAACAGATATGCACATTAATGCAATGCAACTAAAAATGCAAAAATAAATTCATCCACCTTCAAGTTGCAAAACTTAAGGATGTTATGGGGAAAATGTTCAATCACCCAGGAAACAAGATGGAAGGAGTATACAGAGTAATCTATACTCAGGACAGAAGGCAGTCATCAGAAGTGAACAAGGAAATAGTGTATGGTTCAAAATCAGATCAGGTATATGACAGGGATGAACCGTATCTCCACAACTTTTCAGTCTAAATGTGGAACAGATCATCTGGGAGGCTAGGCTCTACAAAGATGGTCACAACAGGATTGGAGGAAGAGTATTCAACAACTTGAGTTATGTGGATGACAACAACATTGCTTGCTGAAGCTGAGGAGGACTTGAGCTATTTATTTGCCGTAGAAGATCAAGAACTGTAGCCTTTAATATGGATTGAAGCTTAGCATCAAGAAAACAAAAGATTTTCATCACTGAGTCAATCGGCAGCATCATAATAGACAGTGAAGAGATTTGAGACTGTTGACATCTTCAGATTGTTTGGCTTTATGATCAACACTCTTCATACCAGCAGACAGGAAATTAAAAGATTAATTGCACTGGAAAAATCTGCTGTTCGGGACCTCTCCAGAGAACTCAAAAGCAATAATGTCAGTCTGAAGACTAAGGTGCGCTTGATAAAGGCATGGTCTTCACAATTACTTCCTAATGTATCTGAAAGCTGGACGATGACTAAGGATGATACAAGAAGAATGTGAGTTGTGGTGCTCGAAAAGAGTATTGAATATATAATGCACTGCTAAGAGAAAAAACAAGTCTGTTCTGGAGAGGGTTAAAACAGGCTTCTCCTTAGAGACAAGGATTTTGAAGCTCCGCCTGACATACACTGGGCATGTTGCAAGGAGGGACCAGTCTTTGGAGAGGGACATCATACTTGGAAGAGTGGAGGGAATGCACAAGAGAGGTAGCCTCTGGATGAAATGGAATGACTCAGTGACTGGGGTAATGGCGGTAGGTGTGTCAGAGACAATGAAGTTTGCTAAAGATAGAGTAGGGTATAGAGCTGTTGTACATAGGGTCACTATCAGTCGGAAGCAATTCAATGGCACATAACCACAGCATAGATGGAAAATGGTTTATAAAGAGGTTTACTTGTTTATTTGGTTTGACTAGGTATTTACTGACTAGACAAATGATACACCTGTGTGTACCATACCAAATTATGTATAACATTGAGAAGAATCCTAGAACATTTACTTGTGCTCCTGTAAAACCAATACACAGACCAAGTAGTATTGTCCTAAAAGAAGAGAATACTGTGTGTTCTAAAATCAGAAAAGGTATGTATCAATGATACATCCTTTCTCTTTACCTATTCAATCTGAATGATGGGCAAATATTTCAAGAACCTGGGGGAATCATCACTGAAATTCAGTATGAAAAAGATTATGGCATCACAACTGCAGGTATACTCAATAGCAATCTGCTAGACACCCACAGTAACAGCAGTCAAGAAATCAAATGTTGCGTTGTACTGGGCAAATGGGCTGTAAAGGATCTCCCCTAAGTGCTAAAAAGCAAAGATGTTAAACAGCAATAAGGCAGTCTGAAGACCAAGGTAGACGAGATCCAAGCTGTAATATTATGAATTGTTTCCTATGCATCTGAACATTGAAGAATGAATTAGGATAACAGAAGCAGCAACTGATGCTCTTGAATTATGATGTGGGAGAAAAGAATTGAATTGAAAATTCAATAGATCCCCAACAACAAACAAGTCTGTCGTGGAGGAAGTAAAACAATGATGCTTCTTAAAGGGGAAGATGATGCAACTTCTTATATACTTCAGGGATGTGGCTAGGAGGGATTATTTCTAGAAAAAAAGACCTCATACTAGGAAAAAGTAGAGAATTGGAGGAAGACACTCAGCAAGATGGAATGACAGTGACTATAACAAGGACCCACAGATATCAGAAATAATGAGGATGGAAAAGTAGCTATGATTCACAACCAATTTGATGTCACCTAACAACATAAAAATTTTCTCTTTATTAGTACGGAATGAGGGCTGCAGAGTGGATTATATTTGGGGTGGGGGGTGTGCGGGGGGGATTGTGTACCAATGGAGGAGTTTTTCTTTTGCTTTTCAAGGAGGGGAGCAAACGGGGGGGGGGGGAGGGGTAGGCGGGGAGAAAGGTGCAGCAAAGAATGAATGGAATTACAAAATCTCTGCAGATGTTCATTGAAACGAAAAATAAATATTTTAAAAATGTCTCTTTAATAAAGAAACACAATTCATTCAATACAGAAAACACAGCCTCTTTAACAAATGTTTCTGACAAAATTAAATATTTACTTACAGAGAATGGAAACAAGATCTCTACCTTCGATCATATACAAAAAGTAACTCAAGATGGATAAAAGAACTACGCATAAAACGTAAAAACTATAAAATCATCAAAGAAAAAAATAAGCACAAAAAAAGCTATAGTCAATGGTATAATTTGTAACTCTAGTTGTTCATTGCCATTGACTTAGAATAAACTCATACCTGAACCTCCACTGGGTTTTCAGAGGTTATAAATTGCTCAGAAGGGGCCTGCCCATCTTTATCCTGAGAGGCAGTAAGTAGATTAGAACTGACTCCCACTGAGTTGACAGTGCAACTACGGGCCCCCAAAGCTTTGATCACATCACATACAAACTATAAATTTAACTGAAAATGTATAATCAGCAGAAGATAAACTAACCCACTGTGACCTCTTAAAAATTAAATCTTTATGTGAATGAAAGAAAAAATTCTCCAAAATAGTTAAAAGATAACCTACAGATTGGGGACAAATATTTTGCAAGGGCTCAGCAAATTAAAATCTCACCTCTAAAATTTATCAAAAACTCCAACACTTCAACACAAAAAAAGAGAAAACAATCCACAGAATAGGAAGAAGGCAATTAAAAGGTGCATCATGTAAGAAGATATTCAGATGGCATGGTGTGTTATCAAGAATTCCTTGTTTAAAATGGCCTTCAGAGAAGAAGGAGGAGGTGGTCACCAGCTTTTTACCTTCACCAACACAGCTATCTTAGGAACAGTTTGAGGCTGAAAAAAAAGGCAAGATCCCCAGAGATCACAGGAGACCTCACAGGTTTCATCCGGAAGAGAACCTCCCCCTTATGTTGTTGTTTTTATGTGCCGTCGAGTCCTTCTTTGGAATGGAAACAAATATAGATCTCTTCAAGTCAGTTGGCCAAGTGGTTGTTCTCCAGATTTCTTGGCACAACTTGGTGAGCACATCCAGGGCAGCATCTGTTAGCTGAAAGATGTCAATTGGTATACCATCTATTCCTGGGGCCTTATTTTTTGCTATTTCCTTCAAAGCAGCTTCAACTTCTTCCTTCATCACCATAGGCTCTTGCCCCATATGAGTACCAAAAAGGCTGGATATCTCAATTATTAGAGGATTTTTTAAATGGAGGTGCCAATGGAGATCCATGTGGCCCAGTATCCACTGGATATGGGACAAAAGAAAGAAATTAAGTACTATGCAACTGCTTAACAAAGACAGTCAAAAGACAAGATTTATAGTAAGTACAATGACCTGGTTAGAACAAAGTTCTGAGCACAGACATCCCAGACTAGCAAAGATCTAATAAAGAAAGTCATTAAAGAGATAACAGAAAAAACAAAGGAAGCTTTGCAAAAATCTGTTACCACCAAAGGTTGCTGCATCTATTCCAATTCAAACAGCTGATAAACAGGCTTCTGCTCTGTACACACCATCTCAACAAGAAGTAACTTTCAATTCTGGGGATAAGCAGGTGGAGCTGAAGAAAGAATTCAATAGGATCTCCAAGATTCAAGATTAGTAAGAAAATTCCTCAGGGACCACCTTCTTCTCCTAGATGACAGATGACAGCAGGAGTGCAAGATCCCTCCTTATATTTCAAATTGGAAAAATGCAAAGGGTTATTATATTATTCCATTAGATAAACATCTGGCTCCGGATGGAAGAGTAATACAGACAGTACACATAAATAAAAATTTTGGAA